CTCTCTGATGAATATAGACAGGCAGTAACTGAAGGGTCTTCCCTATTGTGGCATCTTGCATTTGGACTGGTCTTCTCAGGTAGGTTCAGTGTGAGAATTGGCCAGCCTGATTTCAGTACCAGACTAAGACTTTCTAATTGCTTATATTTCTAATCTATCAGATAGCTGGTTTTAATCTGGTAGTTTTTACTATACTCCACAGTTTTTGTACTTTCATTTTATAGTCTTCTGCTGTATTGTGTTGTGCAATTATATTTATGTTTTTATCATTGTTGAATATGTTTTACGATTTCCAAAGCTACCCTGAGACTTCAATGCCTGTAAGGAAGCATATAAATCTTTACATAAATAAAGAATCATAGGATGAAAATGTCATTCTGAGAGATATTGTTTGACATCATTCAGCAATCTATAATCTCTTTTTAGAGCTTCCCATGTTAATCCCAGAAGCCATGTATCTTCCATCTAAAATCAAGAGTTTTTGCTAACTAAAGAACATTGTTAGAGGGATTTGCTTTCATTTATCCAACCATCCTAGGAGAAAGTACAAAGAATTAACATAAGAATGTACAATAAATCATCTTCCAGAGGAAGATCAGACTCAAATTATTCTGTTTTCACACATTATGCGAAGACATAGATATCAGGAAAAGCTCCAATGCTGGAAAAGGTAGAAGGAAAGAATGACCAAAAGCAAAGTGGATGGACTAAATTACAATGGTGATGAGTGTACTATTGGAAGACTTGGTATATAGGGATGAATTATCATGGAGAAAACCTATTATGCGGTCACTAAGGCTCAACCACAACTCAATGGTACATAATCAATCAAAGATGGTACAACTATTATATCCCGAATCTTCAGTATGTTAAATATGAATCATGGGAATTAAGGCTACAGTAAGATCTGGATGATAACATATTGCACAGTTCAGCTTTAATGGATTCTGACATTATAAGCTCTAGCAATAGCATGCTTTGTTTTTATTGAGGAATTAATGCATATTGATTGCTACGATTTTTACAGTGCTATAGCAATGCTTGATGTTTTGGTTCTGTGAAGAACTTCTAAGTTTCCCCAACCTGGCATTCTCCAGATGTGTTAGAATTGTAACTTCCAGAATTTCCAATCAGTATGCCTTTAGAGCAGGGGTGTCAAACTCACGTCGTCACAGCGGCATTATATGACGTATCAGGACTTTTTTCCTCTTCGCTAAACCAGGCATGGTGTGGCCAGCATGTGATGCATCCGGCCCATGGGCCAGGAGTTTGACAGCCCTACTTTAGAGGAATTTTCTCACTCTATCTAGAGGGCACCAAACTGGGGAATTCTGTTTTAATCTTTCTGAAATATAAACAAGCTGTTTGGGTGATTTCAATAGCAAACATATTTTCTGTATCTAGCAGATACCTATATTTTTTATTCTAATTTCTTTTTTGCATTTTTAACCTTTATTTTTCTTAATTATTCTCTGACTAATCAGAAACTTATTAATAAGTAAAAACATAAATGATTATTAAGATACGGGGAGAGACAGAACCATTACTGACTGTTTAAATTAGAATAGCAATGAATAAATATAACTATGACAAGCTTAGCTCATTATACAGAAAGTAACCATGCCACTTTGGAAAGTGAATGGTAGCAAAATAGGATCAAGTTACTTCAAGGTATTACATTTATTACCAAGAATGCAAATTTCCAATTACTTAATAAAGATTTTTAAAGATGGTGAACTCCGCTATTAGCAATGAGAAAAATATTTTCTGCTTCTATGAAGAACTTTTAGCTGAAGAGACCACCTATTCTTAAAAGTTAGCTGAAGCACAGTATTGCTACTAGTAGCTTCCTATTCTCTTCAATAAGTTACTCTACAGATGTCTGACTATTTATGTTGGACAGGTGGACATATATCATAGTCAAATGGCTATGATAGACATGATGTGCAGTATCAATATAGCTCAAATACTAACCCTTAATCTTTCAGGATGCTCCCTACCACCCTACTGTAATTTATTTTTCTTGGCACATAAGCTGTCTCAAACTAAGTATTGAGTTGTACCCATCCATCATTTTTTAAAAAATTTCTAAGAATATCTAAAGAGCTTGTGAGATGATGATAAAGCGGTTTTTTTAAAATAAAAAAAATCTGAAAGAAAATTGATATACAGTATACTAAGATAATGATATCAACCTCTCATTATCAAAACATTCCTATTTCTTTTTTACATTATTCTATATTAACACTAGAAATTTAAGTGACAAATGTGGGTTGCTATCAAAGGAATACCTGTAAAATATTCCTATTTCATTCATTTTAACTTCATACCAAAAAAATTAAACAGAAATTAAAGTCAACTTTTAGTTCCAAGAGACATGCCACATCAACTAACAAGAATTTCAAGAGGTATTGTGGATTAAGATCATGGATTTGACCAAAGTCAAAAAAAGGGCATGTTTTCTACATTTTTCATAGGAATATAGACGAGACAGTTTCAACAGGTGCAACTTTTCTCATTATTGTATAAATAGTAAAATTCCTTCGTGTTCTCTATACCAAAGTATCATAAGATGATTAGTAACTACCTAAAGATACATTCTAATTATAATCTTATGGAACAGAATGAATGAATGAATAAAGAAGAAAGTTTTTCTTCTTGGTTTTAACCAATTTGATTATCAAAATTCAAGCTAACTTTCTTACAGAAGAGCAAGACTAACATCTTTACACACTTTTCCATTAAGTGTCAATTATGCTTTCACCTGAGTACCCAGCAAGTGTTTAAAAGTCAAGAATTCTTAGCATCAATGATAGACTGAGCAAATCAATTAGCAAATCAATTAAGCTTTTAAGTTTGGTCTTATGTTTGGTGAGTTTGGTGTTATTTTTCAATAGGCATTAGGTTTAATGACTCCTTAAGAAGTAACTTTTTTTTTGGCTAACCAAAGGCTATTGTGCATAAGATTAAGATCATTTATTAATAGAGTACATTCAAAGTTTAACTTTTTAAAAAATCTGGTTAAGGACATATTCAATCTCCACAAACTCAAACTTCAAATGCAATTTTCATTAACTAATTTCAATATATAGTCCTTCTGGTTAGAAATATTATTAAATTAAGAATTGTCTATTTCACTTAGTATCTTGATAAATTAATAGAAGACGGACATTTGCTGTGTACAATATTTTTAAATTTTCAAGAGTAAAAAGTAAAGAGATGAATTCATAGAGATAATAACAACAACAGAACTCTGGCAAAAGAAAGCAAAGCTTGGTGCCTTGCTACAATCTCACATCATTTGGAGCACTACTTGAATGCCATCAGCATTGCCAAAAAACACACGTTAACTGCAAGACAGTTTACTTGGAACAGATTACATCCTGCAACAATACCTTTAACACTATATAATAGCCTATCCCAAATCCTTGAGAAGGACTTGTGACAGGTGGATAGTAATTCCAAATGCAACCAAACCTCTGGCTGACTCTGTTATCAACCATGATAATAACACCATCATATCATGTAAAGAAACAGTTTCTGGATACTGTTGGGTTTTTTTTCCAGTAAAAAAGTTTTATTAAGGAAGGAAGGAAGGAAGGAAGGAAGGAAGGAAGGAAGGAAGGAAGGAAAATATTGAAATGAAAACAATGCTTGAGAAAAGGAGGGAAAAGATAAGATAACCAAAGAAAGCTAACTGAGGGACAAATGGACATAGGTAAGAAATTATTTTAGAACCATTTCTGGATAACAAAACAATCCACTAAGCAACATGTTATACTCCTATTAAAGTATTCATAGTTCCTTGAAAAGAAGGAAAAAATGAATGAGTGGTGAAAGGGGGGAGGGCATTAAGAATATGCAGGGCTGCCCAGTGAGTACCAGTATGCTGCTCTAAAGTCCACTGTGCTAGAATAGAAGGTATTATTGGAGCATCAAGGAGGGCTTAAACTATCATCAGGGATTAGAAATGAGTCCCACTGGGGGAAAGACAGCACCAAGTGAGAATATGAGCATTTCCATGAGATTTAAAAACAATACTGAATGGTGACAAAAAGTAAATGGGTAGAAAAGTTTCTGGATGGAAGGTTCAAGAATTCAGAAACAGGACAAAAAGTGCAGTGAAATGAAGTTGACACTAAGTGTTGTGAAAGGGGGACAGAACAGAAGGAAATACTGGAAAGAGGAGACAAGGTTACTAAATGATAAACTGGACAAGCAGGTGGGTTTTGCTAAGAAGAAGGGATAATACTCTTAAAAAGCGGTTCAACCTGGACTAATCTGATTGGGAATTATAAAAGGGAAAAGGTGTATTGGGGGAGGTGCAGATTAGAGCATGGGACGATTGGGAGCCACTTCTAGTTTCCAAGTCAGATTCTAACCCTATACTGTCTTTCCTTTCTGGAATCCCCTGTTCAGAAGACTGAAGGTCCCACCCAGCAACCCCAGTTCTCCCGAAAAATCTGTCCAGAAAGCTGCCCATAGTTTGTGAAAGAGATCTAGGTGTCCCCTATGGCAGAAAAGGAGGCGTGAGCGAGGAGGAGGGAGAACAAGCTTCACCTCAAAAAAGAACAGAACAGAGGAAAAGACTCCAACACATATATATTACTTCACTTTCATCGTCCTTCAGTCATCTCGCATCAGAAATATGGGCGGGAGGGGGTGTGTGCCCGGGACAAGACCCATGACTTGGGAGGCAAGTTGAAGCCTTATAAAAAGGGACCATCTCCTCTTTTTGGTAGCAGGGAGCCTAAATAAAAAGGCTGCGTTCCCCCCCCCCCCCCCAAAAAAAAAAAAACCGACAGGGAGGAAAGAGGGATGGCGGCATGAGAAAACAGCAGAGCAGCAACGACGAGACGCTTTCGGAAGGAATGCCTACCGCAGGCAAAGTGCAAGCCTGTGAGGGAATGCAGGGAAGGGGGCAGGCAAACCGGGTGGAAGAAAACGCCTCCGAGAAGGGAGGAAGGAGCAGCCCGCGTATCAGCGGGCGGGCATAGAGGGGCGGGAGCGATTCGGTAGCAGAGATGCAAAAGATGAGACGGCCCCGAGCAGCCCGTTGGGAACAGGGAGAGTTTGAGAAGGTAAACAACAGCCACGCCCCCTACAGTCCTCAGCTCCACCGCGCAGCTCAATCGCAGCCGCTGCCTGTACATTTCCATTCCCGAATCTCTCTGGATCCCCCAGCGGCGTGACTCTCGTCCTCGCTCCCTCCCTTCCCCCCCCCCTCCACCACCACCACCACCACGCAGCCCAGCCATCCTTCGCTAGGTTACGGCGCGGCTGCAAAAGCCATCAGCGCCCCAGAGAAGCTGATGCCATTCAAAGCCCCGTGGGGGCTCTCCCACCCTGGCCGAAAACTGCGCTGCTTCTTCTGCTTGCCTCCTGGGCGCATTGTTTATGTCTGTTGCAGGAGCTTGGCAGGAACCCCACAACCTCAGCACGTGAGAGGAGCCGATCATGTGGGTGCACCAGCTTCAAGACAGGCAAATGCTCCAAAACGTGCTGCGTCTCAACAAAAATGAAACTCCCGTCTCCTAATTGCCGCGCGATCCCCTTTTGCACGACTTGACACACACACACACACACGCCCCCACGTAATTCCCCACATGCAACGCAGTTGTTGTTTTTTTAACCCTCCAACCCCCCCTGTCCTGGGTTCATATTCTGGAACCCTGTTTTTCCTCTCGGTGCCCTCTCTTTCCCCGCCCTCCCCTCGGTTGGTCTTAAACTGTGGCGAGTCCCTTTTCCCCCTCACCCCTTTAAGACCTTCTGGGGTTACCTCTGCCGCAGTCATTAATCCGAGAAACCGTTTCCCGAGGCTTCCGTTCCTTTAAAAAGTTGTTGTTTACATTCCTGCCGCCTCCCTTTTAAAACATGACTGACCAACATGCGCAATCAATCTCTAAAAAACGCTGCACATCCCCCCCCCCTTCCTTTGCAGGCAGTACAGTCAGGGAGCAGTAAAACAAATACAAGGAGGGAAGGGAGAGAATAGAGAGGAGCTGCAAAAACCGGGGGGGGGGAATGGAGCAATCCTCCACCCATTTTACCTTGGCTGGGAGAGAGCGTCCTCCCAAGAGTTGAGAATCTCCGTCGGGCTACCAGAGAGGGGTAAGCGAGAGATGCTCCAGAAATGGCAACGCTTACGGAATCTCCCTTTGCAAAGATCAACCCGGTACCATTGCGGAGGGGGAGAACGACCCCCGCTCGTAGGATCCGAAGATGATACCCTCCCCTTTCAGGAGTAGATACAAAGTAACTCCATAGATGCATTTAAAAAAAAAAAATCCGAAGAATTGCTTCCAGCTGAGATGGCCGCTCTGTGCAAAATCCAGCAAGCCCTGCGTGCGTGTTTCTGTTTTTTTTTTTTAAACAAAAAAATTCTAGACTTCTTTCCGGATCTTTGTGCAATTGCCCGAACGTCTGCGCCTAGGCTTTTTTATTATTATTATTTAATCCCCTCGCTGGCGAAGAACGGACTTCTCCGAAGGAGTGTATAAATTAAGACTGATGCTGGCGAGTTCGCCCCTCGCCCCCCTTCTCTCAATTTCTTCTTTTCTTGCTTGTTGTTTCTCCCTCCTGACGAGCAGCAGGTCCAGGTGCAGCTGCAGACGTGGGTCCCATCCCTGATTGTGCTCGGCATGTGTTGCCTCCCACCCCGGCGCACTCTTCGCCCACCCCCTCCCTCCCCTTGTTTTCACCCCCCTCCGGTGCGCCGAGTCCCCATCTCTTGTCTTTCTGGTGCCCTGGGCAGCTGGAAAAGGCTCGGGTTGCACAGGCGGACTCGCTTTTTCCTCGCGCTCTCCCTCCCGAGCCTGCTCAGGTCACTTTCGCAACGATCTTCAGCCTCGCGCGCTCTCACAACAGTGGCGGCGGTGCACGCACAGATCACAAGAGCTGTAACACTTTCTTCGCTTCCTCCGCTTTTCATACGCACACATACACACACACCCCCAACCCGGTCTCCTCTCTCGCGCCCCCCCCCCACCCCGCCGCCGCCGCCGCGAGCGCTTTCACCTCCTCGAAGCTATGCAAAGGCGTAGCAGCTAAGCCTGCCGCTGCTGTTGCTGCAACCTTACGAAAAATAACCTTATACTTAACAAAATCTTTTGGCGCCATATTAATGACGTACTTCAAATTTGCCATTTCTTCCTGCGTCAAATAGACGTTTCTTACAAATAACAGATGAGGTGCAGAGTGGAGAGGGCGAGCGCAGGAGTGAGGGGGAGGGCGCAAAAAAAAAAAGAAAAAGACCCTCGGACCGATTTTTTTATTTATTTTTTTAAAAAACCCAAAAACCTCGCCTGGGGGGCGGGGCGGGCGATCGCCTCCGAGTAGACGTGCACGAGGAGCGGGCAGGGGGCAAAGTAACCGGGGCAAATGTAGATGGGAACGAGACTGGTCTCCCGCGGATCCCAAAGTTATTCGGCGGCGGTGGTTTGTTGAGGGAAACGGTTCTCCGGGATCACCTTGGGCCGAGATTAAGCTGGCTTTAAAGCACTTGCTCCTTTTTTTTTCTTTTATTTTTAGGAGAGGTGCCAAGCGGGCGAAAAGAACGGAGCAATGTTGCTTTTCCTCTCCCCACAACCCCCTCCCCACACTTCGTCCCATGAAGCCGGGTTGCTACGTTCCCGGCAGTCTTTCTCTTCCCTGGGCTCGCTCGCTCTCTCTCTCTCTCTTCAAGGCTTCTGAAAAGCGGCGAGGGAGACGAAGTTTGCGCCGTTTTCCACAGGAAGAAAAAGCCCCAGGGCCGCCCTCCTCTAGTTCTCGACTTGACCTTGTCATGCACAAACAATGCACTTCAAGCCGTGTGGCTGGGAGGGTGTTTGTTTCCCTGTAGCGGCAGCGGCAACCGAGAACTGCTCCGACATCCAGCTGGCCACACCCACCGCTGCTGCTTTCGGCAGGCACCGACTTCCAGAAGAAGGGCGATTATTTCACTCTCGAGAGGAAAAGAGCGGGACAGGCCGCCTACCTGACCGAATCTCGTCCGCTCCAGACACCAGTCTCTCGCCCTGCATGGCATCCTTGCAAACCCCCGCAGTCCGGCAACTTTGATAGCCTTTTCTCAGTGGCCCCATTCCTTCAGTCCCAGGGAGAACTTTTTGCCCTCGCCCCCCCCCCTTTTCAGAACTGGTATTGCTTGCTCGGGTTTTGGATTTAAGGGTTATCATTGCTATCAATCGTCACTCAACGGATTGGCAGGTTTTCTAGCTGTGGAGGATCGCACTCTATACAGCATGTCAGCATGTCACAGCTCTTGCAGCTTTGACTGTAGCCTTACTGTTTGCAATTTGAGTCCATTCTGTTAAAAACTTCCCTGATAGTCCTCCTGTCTCTTGGCCTTTACTCCTTCCTCGACAGTAAAAGGAGAGGTGTATTGTGAAAACAAAGCAGATAAAGATCCTTACAGTATTGCCATCCAAAATTATATTAGTTAGTGTATCCTAGGATTTTTGTTTTAATTGAGGCAAGCTTCCTGTCTTAAACAGCTGATGTTGTGTGGTCACTAGATAATGCTTCTCACACTAAAAATAGCTATCTGCAGGAAGAGGGTAAAAAAAAAGTCAGCAGGATATACATTACCTTGTGATCAAAGCCCCACCTTTTTTATGTGCATCATGATATGAAAACGGGTAGGAGCTTTGATTACATGATTATGGCCACCATCCTGGCTTTTTTTTTTGACCTCCTTCCCATAGACACCGTTTATCGCAGATACTGAAGCATACATTTAAACTATAGTACATAAGGATGCCTCAAAATGTCTAAAGGAAATTGTAAACATTTAGAGGTCACAAGAATAAGGAAAATAATTTAAACCAAATTTGGCTTGCACTATAATTGGAGATGCCTTTGGACAGACTAGATCCAAATGTTAAAACATAGGTTTCCCTCAAATAGGACACTGAATAAATATCAAGTACACCATGCTACCATGTTTGTTGCTCAGTCAATGCACTGTACACATAGATAAGATCGGTTGCTAGGAGTTGAAAATGACTCGATGACACATCATCATATGTTCAAGTTTCTCCTGTCATATTTCCTAATACAGTGGTCTTACGTGGATATGTGTGTGTATGTTTCCTTCTCTTTTGTCATGTTCTCATTGTAGGCTAAATAAATAATAAATACGGTGGTCTGCCACTCCCATCATTCAACCAGCTATCCTGAGTGAGGACAATGGAAGTTACATCATTGTAACTTCCGTTGTTACATCAAGTTACAGGAACATCTTGTGGACAATCGCCGAAGGAAGATATTTGGTTGCTGCATATATGTTTTGCATACCCCAGGATGTTATCCGGAGAATAAATATTGTCCATATTTTGCTTTGACTCCTTACTTTGAATTAGCAGGCACAATTTTTATTAAGGATAAAGGATAAAGATATTAAGGATAAAGAGTTCATCACTCATACAGGTTACTTCTGAAATACATCACCCAATATGGCAAGTGAGATACAAGCATAAAAAGCAATAGTGAAGCATTTTTATTGTATTTTTATCCCATCTTTATTATTTTGTAAGTAACTCAAGATGGCAAACATACATACTTAATATTCCTTCCTCCTCCTATTTCCCCGCAACCACAATCCTGTGAGATTGGATTGGCCTAAGAGTGATTGGCCTAACACCCACTTGACTTTCATGCCTAAATTGAGACTAAAATTCCTGGTTCCTTAACCACTAGATCAAATTGGTCTAATTATCATAATTTTATGTGTGTGTATATTACTGAATATATTATTAAATCAATATACTGTAGAACTCCATAATAGATGTATATCATTTAGAACTATGGCTATAAAGCTTCACCAGTGGTGGGTTGCTACCAGTTCGCCCCAGATCAGGTGAACCGGTAGTGGCGGCATGAGGCTCCACCCACCCACCCAGACACTTATGTGCATGCGCAGAAGCATCGCACATGCAAGCGCACGTGCTCCCACGAGCAAACCTGAGCTTCACTCTTAGAAATTGTCAAAATCAAGATGTTTGTCATATACATATATGAACATTAGTATTTTACTGTCACACCTGTCAGGAAAAACATGTTTGTTGGATCTCAAGTAAGAGAATAGAGTATTGTCATTTGCAACATTGATAGATAAATTGTTCAAGAAGTGTATCTCATTAATTCAAACAAAGATAGCATTTACTTATAGGGGGATGTAGCTGATATTCAGGACATGAACTAAGATTCCCATTCTCAACCCCACTTTTTTAGCCTTTGTTACCCAAATCTAGTGTAGCATTGGATTCAATATCAGCAGACTGTTGGCTACAGTTCAAAAGAAATGAATCACTGCTAGAGCAGGCTCACAAATAATATAGCCCATAACTGCTTGATTAAGACAACTTGTTAGTTTCTGAATGAGTATCCCAACTGGAAAGTCCCTTGTGCATATTATTTTGAGCCTTACAGTAGGATATATTCATAATTGATAAATAGGTATTACAGATGCACGCAGTTGTGCAGCCACAGTTAACATTTGCCTCGTTGAGTGAGAAGAGTAAGAAATCCCATCCTCAAGGTTGCAGACATGGAAGAGTAAAAAAGAGGGCTCAGTGCATTCCTTATGCACTGAGAAAGAGGTAGTCAGAAAAGTCACAAATAATAAGAGGGAGAGGAGAGAGAGCTGAATCAGGCTTGCAAGATTTTATTACAGTAGTCTATCTAGCCTGTAGAGTAGATTAGAGTTTTTCTTGTGGAGTCTGCTTCCTGATCTGGACTATTCCATCATGGACAGAGAGCCATCCAGGTACAGAGAATTCTTCTAAATGGATTATTTTTTTAAGGGAAACTCCATCCTTGTTTTGTTTTATTCTTTTTGCTACTCCTGTCATCGGAGGACTTGCAACTTCTCTTCCTGGGCTGGCAGGACTATGGACTATTTATTTAGATAAGTGGCAAATACAAAATGGATATAAAGTGGAACAAAAACACATTTCTTATCCCTTTTTCAGATGCCCCTAGCAATTGTTATAGTTTCAGGAGATGGCCAGAAGATGACTTACTAGAATTTACAATACTTTTCTCCTTGTAATCTTGTTCTAATTCATCTATGGAGATTCTCAATCATCAAGATCATGGTTATCCCAAAGGTGCTTTTCAAAAGGAAACTGGACTTCCTTGATGTTTTTTTCCTTGAAACATTTCGCTTCTCATCCAAGAAGCTTCTTTAGTTCTGACTGAAATGTTTTCAAGGAAAAAACCAAGAAATCCAGTTACCTTTTGAAAAGTACCTTTGAGACTCGTTCTAATTTCTTGATTCATCTAATATTTCTAAAAGATGATTTAAGTGAGTAATCTGAGGCAATGTCTTTTACAATCTAAAAAACCTTCAATTCTGTTTCAGTTATAGGATTGATATATCACGCTATGTCAAAAGTTTTTATTTATGGTTTGTAAGCCACAAAGGCCTATTTCACACAAATGCTAAGCCATACTAGCTGGGTTCACATGTCACACTAAGTTCAAAACAAAACAAAACACATCATAGTTTAATGCAATGTCTGAGGAGGAGAGGTGGTTCAAAAATGTGCGAAGTAATCAATCAATCTTTATAGTATCTCAAAAAGGAAAGTAGTGGTCATTAGCATTCTGGTTACAGGTTGGTGATGGACATCATTTTTTTTTCTCCTGCTTTTCCTGTCTCAGGATCAAAGTCTTGCTTTTCCTTTCTTTACTCTGTATTCATTGAAAAGCAAAGGGGCAGAGATTCTTTATAGAACAGTACAAGAAGAACAGGAATATTTTCAGAACAAAGATTGTTCTGAAACTCTCATCATATATTCACTCTATGTGTATGTGTTCATAAACCCTATAAATCTTCAGAGACATCTTGTCAAAGAAATTGAATCTATAGTAAACACTGATAAGCCTGAAACTTCTGACCCTTTAGAAATGAAGTGTGCATGCATAACTGTATCATCAAAATGCAATTTCTTTCTATTGTAACCTTTTTTTTATATCCTAAAATTTGGCTATATTGTTTATCAAGAGAATTTCCCTTGAAAATCTAATCTTACAAACAAGCCTAGATAGTTTGAACAACTATCCCCTTTTTCAAGAATCTTCACTGGTTTAAATTCCATATTTCTGGTTTTTGGGCAGGTGAATTCCTATTTTCCTGGAGCTGGGCAAAAGGAAAGGTCATTGGTAGAAGAGGACTCTCCAGATGAATAGACAGGTATCTAGAGGTTTAACTTGATATATGACAGATTACTATAATTTTTCCTTTTATGTAGTATTCTTTAAAAATATGAGTTCGCCTGATTGGAATTTCAAGCTCTCTTAATTCTGAGAGCTGTCCATAGGCTCCTGAACTTTGTTCAGACCTAACATAGTCATTTACCTTATTATTCCTATTTTCTCACAAGCACTGATTCTTATATGTTTAAAATATAAATGCCAACAATAAACCTTTTACTTATCTGGGAATCTCTGGAATAAATAACTGGGTCACAAATAAGCAGCTATTGGAGAATTTTTCCTTTAGCCCTTCTAAATTCATCTACTTCATTATTTGGAAATTGTTCCTGTTATGCCAATAGAAAGCAACAATGGTGTCCAGACTTCACTAGGAATTGTAGAGGGTTTCTCTATTTACTAAAGTCAGAAAGGCAAAACAGTTTTGCAGTTGGAAGAAATATAATTTCAGGGGATGAAGCCCATTCTGTTTTTGTTTAATTGACATTTATTAAATGTCAATTATTTGTTCTGTTTGCTTATTTGCAAGAAATGTAGCCTTTGCATGATAATTCCAAGGCACACTTGGAATTACCACATGTTATGGCATAAAGAGTTAATTTTTTATTACATTGTATACATTTTTAAATTAGTAACTAAAAGTTAGGTTTCTAAGAATCACACATTTTAAAATTCTTCCATAAATATAACTCAGACTGCTGCTGCTGAAGGCTTGAACATGTGTCAATCCCAATTTTTATCTCTTATCTAGCGATCCCAATTTTTGCCATTTATCTAGCGATCATCTATCTCAAAACATTGCATTATGGATTAATATTGAAATCAGACTAACTAAATAGTATTATAAATTATTTCAGGCCATGGGTAAGAAATTATTTTAGAACCATTTTTGGATAACAAAACAATCCACTAAGCAACATGTTATACTCCTATTAAAATATTCATAGTTCCTTGAAAAGAAGGAAAAATGTATGAGTGGTGAAAGAGGGGAGGGCATTAAGAATATGCAGGGCTGCCCAGTGAGTGCCAATATGCTGCTCTAGGCTGAAAAATAAACCATGTCAGTTTTCATATTCTGGGATCAAATACTCAAATGACTTACTAGCCGAGAAATTTTCTGTATTGCATTTACATAGTTGATAGTAACAGCAGAAGCCCAAGAAACAGAATATTATTAATTGAGGTGAAAAGGTGTGGAACTACAAAGCAAATAGATGATCGTGTGGGCACCAAAAATGTTATTGCTAAGACATGATTGAGGAGCTCGGAGAAAAGAACATTCTATCTTTGCTTGAGCACCATGGATGTCCTCAGAAGTCCTGAATAATTATTACACAATGCGGGAACAAGAAGATCTTACCCTTTTACAGTTCTGTTCTCCTCCTACTTTCTCCCCAGATATTTCTTTTATTTATGATTAAATTTTTATCCCGTCTTTCTTGTAAGAGTTCAAACAAGTGCACATGATGGAGGCTCCCCTTTATTTGGTCTTCTCTGCAACAGCTCTGGGAGGTAGGTGGGTTGAGGGATAGTAATTGGTTCAAAATCAGGCTAGTAGAGCAAAGGTTGAATAATCCAACACTTGAACTACCACAGCTAGTTCAGTGATCCATTTCAAAACTATGCCTAACTTAAGTTCACTGCAAGGATCAATTCTGTCAACAGGTTAAGCAATAGGAAGTAAAAGTCAAAGAAGAGAGTTGCCTGCCAGATATGGCCTGCCCTGTGCCTTATAAACTAGCTTAGTGTTTGTCCCATCACTAATGTTGGGAAAAAATCTAGTTAACTTTTGTTCCTGGAACAGGAAAAGGCATAGTCTTATTTGGGAGTGTTCTTCTGTTTTATAAACAGAGAATATACCTCCATAATAGGGAAGAATCATCAGGTAAGCTTCTTCCCAAAACACACATGTGGGCTGTATTAACACATAATACTAAAGATGCAGCCTCGCTAAGAGGTAACTTTAGCCCCAATGTGAAGTGTTCATTTTTATTTCAACCTAGTATGTGTGGATGAACCACACAAAGGTGCAACAAAATGGTATAAAAATACTTCTTGTCACAAGCACAAAGAAGTGGAGCATTCTTTTAAAGAAATTGTCAATTAATAAAAATAAAGACATACAGTAGAAACAAAGATGGTTAAAAGCTTCACATTCAAGAGAATGCTGGTTTTTGTCAACAATCCTAACAAAAGTTTGTTTCTGCTGTTATGTTAACCTACTGAATTTGTTGACCTTTTGCAGATCATTTACTTATTAAAAGAGCTTCCTGCTAGCATATAAGATTTTCCCCATTGTCATTCTTTCCATTCACTACCCACAGATTCTTTCATACTTAGATCCCAAAGATGCTTTTGGAGACAAATGTCTTAGAAGAATGAGAAAATTACTTAACATTTCTACTACCTAGCCAAGAACATTTAACAAAAACAAACCATACTAAAGTATGCAAATGTTTCAATGACAAATAGTGTGGTGATGCTTCTACTTACATCAAAATTAGCAATTTATCTTTCTTTTATTAGAACAAGCCTTTATAACAACACTGAACTTTTTGAATGTATCCAGAAGTTCATCTTGTATCATTCCAGGATGGTCTATTGTCCCAATATAAGATTCATGGCTTATACTAATGTTTTGTTCCAACTTAATTACAGATAATTCTTCCTGGAGATGTGCTAGTATTAACTCATTGTTAGAGTTTAGATACTACATGGATTAAGGGAAGAGAAGGGAGGGCAGGGCAGGCAGGGGAGGGGAGGGAGCCCCACAATGCTATGTTCAGTCTCATTGGTGCACACTCACTCAAAAGCATGATAGAAATATATAAAAGAAATACTAGAGCAAGACTCCTGGAGAATAAAATTGTGGCATCCTGGGCAGGGGTGGGTTCTACTTACCTTTACTACCAGTTCACAGCAGGGCAGCACACGCGTGCTCTCTTCGCTCGTGCACACATGCTCTCTTCTGCGCATGCACAGAAGCGTTTTGATGACGTCGGGGTCGGTGGGCAAAGCCTTCCCTGGTTTTACTACCTGTTCTATAGAACCAGTGCGAACTGGGGGCAACCCACCACTGATCCTGAGGAATAAAATTTACATCCAGCTTTGCTGAGTGGATTTCAGCTTATATAATTCAAACCTAAGATCAACAACCAGAAAAATCGTAAGAACTGCATGTATCCTGCTGCTTGTCACTGGGACAAAAACAGTACAGTATTGTACCATTCTTCCAAATGAATAATTTAACAAGCCATAATGGTTCTGGTAGGCCTAACAAGGCCAAAGGATGCCTCACAGAGGACTGTCATCAGTTGTGACATCATTTTGTCATCCTTCCTTTTAAGCGTAGAAGTTATGTATGTTCAGATATTTCATTAGCTTGGGCTTGTGCTATATAGAATATTGCCTCAAATGGAACCAGAACATTGGTCCATTTAGCTCAGTCTAATCTACAACAATTGATAGATTGTTGACTCTAAGATTTCAACAAGAATTTTTCCTAGATTGCATTTTAACTGCAGGCATTGAGGCATTTTATTTTTATTTTTTGCTTTACCACTTTGCTAGTTATTCCTGGCATTGCATATTTGTACTGCCACAATATACAATATAGGTCAAGTCACAGGATATTTACCAGAATAGAAGGAAGATGTATTAGGTACATCTATAAAATTAATTGTGTTCATCTTAGTTTTGTCATAAACATGCAGCTTCCTGCAGAAGTTTATTTTTTTTAATGATAAAGTTACTGGGATTAGGCGAAAGCTGTTGATCATGCAGTTATATTCTAGGACACATTTTAATATCTGAGCTACCTTCCTAAGGTGTCCTCTGGTTCAGCTCACATAGCAACGTGGTTTGTTTGTTGCATTTTTAATGATTCACATCCTTCCTCAAAGACCACAGATCTATACTGTACACTTTGAAACTGTTTTTTCTATACCTCAATGCGGAACTCTAACCACTACACTATGGCAACCCTCTTCTGCATGGCACTGAGGCAGTATCTGTATTAAATCTCTTTCCATGTCTAATGCACAGAATTGACAATATGTCTCCTAAACCCAGTTGCAGCTCAATGGGCACATGGCAAACAGTCTAGTGTGGTGCAATGTTCTTATAACATGAGTATGAAGCCTAAACCTTGGAATTCCAGGAGAAAAGCAGGGACAGTACTAGAATCTCCAAGGTTGATTGATTGATTGATTGATTGATTGATTGAACTTATTAGATTTTATACTCCACCTTTCCTTCTATTCATCTAGATTCTAGATGATTTCAAAAATAAAGAATAGCAATAGCACTTAGACTTATATACTGCTTCATAGTGCTCTACAGCCCTCTCTAAGCCGTTTACAGAGTCAGCAAATTGCGCCCAACAATCTGGGTCCTCATTTTAATCAAACTCAGAAGGAGGGAAGGCTGAGTCAACTTTGAACTGGTGAGAATCAAACTGTTGGCCGTCCACAGAATTAGCTTGCAATACTGCATTCTAACCACTGCTCTTTAAAGAAAATACAAAAATAAAAAACCATAGCAGCATTACTATTAAATCCAGGTAAAAAATAAAGAAGCTAGCAAGCTTGGTGGAAGACATGTGCATTTACAACTTCCTAAATATGAGAAGAGTGAGGACCAAATGCAATTCCCTAGGAAATATATTTGATAACCACACCAGAGAAGGCCCTTCCTGCCACAGAATCTCCATGAGCAGGACTATCTTCAGAAGAGCTTTTCCCTGCTGATCTAAGCATGACTTTGAAATGAACTGCTCTGCAGTTGCAGACTCTGTTGACTCTATGTTCACTTTGTTTGTGTTTCTATGTTTGTATCTTTCAATATTCACACATTCATTTCCATTTACGTTATTTTAAATCTCTCTCTCTGTGTGTGTGTGTCTCCCCACCCCCATCTCCTATCTCTATGTAATTATCTGTCTGTCCAGCCATCCAGCCATCCAGCCATCATCTCCACCAACCTCATGGATAAAACAATGTTAAGAGCAGGAAAGTACAACTCTCCCCTATCATGCTAATAAGTGTTTGCTTGCTACTTAATCAATTTCACAAACTGATTTTATTTATTTATTTATTTATTTATTTATTGGTTCGATTTATATGCCACCCTTTTCCGGAGACTCAGGGCGGCTTACAATGCGTTAAGCAATAGCCTTCATACTTTTGTATATACCTGCTTAGTAGGGCTTTTGGGCCCCTCCAAGCGGTGTTTTATCAGTGAACTTGTTGACAATTCCTTTTAATTAGTTTCATAAAGTCTACAGAAAATTCACCATGTTCCTCACCGTATCAGAGTTCTACTAGTAAAGGTGACAGTACCATATTTTTAAAACACATTGTAGCAGAGTGGTGCATGGAAACCATGATTCCATACATCAGCAACAGAAAAATGGACTTTTGAAGGAAAATAATATCAAGAAAATAAGTTGGAGCATAGATTTCCCTAAGTCAAGCAATCATCATATCACCCCAGAACAGCTTATTTTGACTTCTTCTTTGAAATTTTAGAGTACGATATTAAACAGTATAAGAGGGCATTCCAGAAAATCCTACCACAACAGTGGGATGCCACAATGCCTGCGATTTCATCCAATCTTAAGAGTCCTAAGAACCATTTGTTAGAAAATGTTAATTTATTAAAAAGACAGAAATCCAACATTTTATGTAACTTTCATTTGGCTGCTCAGTATTTGAAGCACTTAGACAATTTCCACAGCATCTCTCTTGGATATTGAAGAAAAATACAGTTTGAAAGTCTCTCAGTCTCTAGGGAAAAACTTACAAAAATGCAAGTGCATAATTTATTGCATGTCAGGATTAGAGCTGGGTTTTTTTTAATGTGAGCAACAAATTGCAGGAAGAATCATTTGTTTTCTATGAGTGCCGCATTTTAGGAAAACTTAATTTAGCTTAAAAGTGTCATTAAAATATATGCATTGTAAATTGCAGTTGTATAAAATGATGTATCTGTCAGATAATGATACTTGAATAGTCTCCTGTTGCACTGATAAAAAACATTCTAGTAGTTTGTACAGTGAAAAAAAAAGTTGCCATATTTTCAAATTGCTATTCTGATTTTTGTTGCCATTAAATAAATATTGAACTCTGTAAATATGGAAAGGAATGGCCTGTCAGCCTCAAGATACCAGATTCTGAAGGAATTGCAAAGATTATGTCTGTTGTGACTCCGACTCCCGAGCCTGTCCTCATGGAGGAAGAGGACTCAGAAGGTGAGGGGGAGGAACTGACAAGGCCTCCCTCTCCAGGACCCTCCTCTCTAGCAATGCCTCAGGTTCCATCCGAAGGCCAGGAGGAACAGCCTGGGATGGGCCAGGAGGAAGGCATTTGGGAGCACCCATTGATAGAGAGTGATAATGATGAATCCTGACTTGATCCCAGGCAGCGTTGGAGGGAGAAGCGTGTGCAGCAAAGGAAGAGGCGTGGGAGGGCCAGGGATTGAACTGAGTCACTGAGCCACGCCCCACAAGGGATAAAAGGGGGCGTGATTGCTCGGCAGGTTTTGTGACGGACAAAAGTTTAAACTCTAAAGAGTCACATTGTGAATCCTGCACTTCGGCTCAGATATATTTTGGACTAAACTCTTGTGGATAATTTGTCGCTCTGGAAACGGACTGCAGATAAGGCCTCTCCTGCTTTTTGGGAGTACTAATTGGACTTGGCAGGCGTTTTATAGTTAGCTGCCAGAACTCTCGTCTGCCAGGAATTCTGGTCTGTTTATACAATAAATTATTGGCAGGCATGTTTGATACTGCATTTGTCTGTGTGAGGACGGGGAACAGAACAATGTCTTCCGTAATAAATACTCTAGAAATGTGTAGTGTAATATAGTTCAGAGATGCAAGGAGCATTCAAAATTCAAAATACAAACCCCTCCATCCAGTATATATATATATACAGTATATATATACATATATAGTATATATACACATACACATACATACATAGGAGCGGTGGTGGCACAGTGGTTAGAATGTGGTATTGCAGGCTAACTCACTGTTCACTGCCAGTTCAATTCTGACTCTCTTCAAGGTTGACTCAGTCTTCCATACTTCTGAGGTTGGTAAAATGAGGACCTAGATGTTTGTGGGCAATATGCTGACTCTCTAAACTTAGAGAGGGCTGTAAAGCACTATGAAGTGGTATATAAGCCTAAGTGCTATTGCTACATACATATATACATGAAAAACCAAGCACTCAATCCATCAACTATACTCATTCATGTATAGAATTATTGGGATCCAACCTTATTATCCCAGTGCTTTGCAGGGTGGGGGGGGGACGGTGATGGAACTGCTCTTCATGGCTTTCTGGAAAGTTAAGAGGGTTGGGAGCCTGCTGGATCTCAAGAGAAAGGGTGTTTCACAGGTCAGGGGCTGCTAGGCAAAAGGCACAGTTCCTAGATCCCACTAAATGGCAACTAAATGGAAGGGACTAGAGCAGGCCTACTCTTATCTGATCTAATGGAATGGGCAAATACCTTCAGGACAAACGGTCCCACAAATAACCAGGAGACAAACTTGGCTTGCTTCAGTCATCATCAATAAGCAATGCCATCTAGTGGGATAGGAAACAAACAATCCTTCTCTGTTGCAATATCTGCCCTTTGGGGCAGGGGTCTCCAATCTTGGCAACTTTAAGCCTGGAGGACTTCAACTTCCAGAATTCCCCAGCTAGCTTTGCTGGCTGGGGAATTCTGGGAGTTGAAGTCCTCCAGGCTTAAAATTGCCAAGGCTGGAGACCAGTGGTGAAATGTAAAAGTTGTTACTACCGGTTCTGAGGGTGTGGCTTGGTGGTGGTGGTGGTGGGGTAATATGACTGAGTGGGCGTGGCCAACTTCTTTTTTTTTAATTTTTAAAACCATTTTTTCTACAACCTCTACGGCTGAAGAGGTTGTAAAAAAAATGCTTTTAAAAGTCTCTGACAATCCCAGCTGACTTGCCTGATCGGCAGAGGCTTTTTTTCCTTTTAAAAACATTTTTTCTATACCTCTTCGGCTGAAGAGGTTGTAGAAAAATGCTTTTAAAAGCCTCTGATGATCCCACCTGAGCCGCGCGATCATCAGAGGCTTTTTTTTTACTTTTAAAAGCATTTTTTCAGCCAAAGAGGTTGTAGAAAAAATGGCTTTAAAAATTAAAAAAAAGCCTCTGATGATTGCGCAGCTCAGCTGGGCATGGGGGGGGCAGGGATTTTTGCTACTGGTTCTCCGAACCACCCGCCTCCATCACTACCGAATCGGGCGATCCAGTTCAAACCGGGAGCATTTCACCCCTGCTGGAGACCCCTGCTTTAGGGTATTGCTTCTCCTAAAGATTTTCTCTGTCCCCAAACTTCCTGCCTTCAAGAGAGAGCTAAGGACACAGGTCTTCCTTCAAGTCTTGGGTTTGAGGGCCTGATGGGCTCTCTATGTTGGGGGCAATGTGGAGGATTGTTTGTTTTTATCCCTTCCTCAGGGCAATTATGCTTTTTATATCATACCGTTGTTGTTTTTTTATGTTTTTAATTTGTTTAATCTTGTGAAGCTACCTAGAGTACTTTTATTTTTATTTTTTGAGATGGGGCAGTTTAGAGATTGGATAAATAATTTTGCACTTAGGATGGTCTGAGAGACTCTCTCTTCCTTGGAGGGGAAAAAAGTGGTCTGATAAATATAGTGAGTCGCAATGGAAACAAAGTTTATGAGTGTGATGGGAGCAGAGAACGTTAACAGCCAATAAAATACTTTTTTCTTGCTCAGGAAAAGGAAAAAGATATATGGTGTCAATGGAATTCTTAAAACTAGAGCACAAAATAATCTGATGAGCACTGGCACTTGATTCCCTGCCATGGTCCCCACCGCACCAGACAAAAACCTGTGACTCAGAGAGCTGAGATGGCTGCATATGCTGGAGCTCTATGGAGAGCTTTGTCTGTTGGGATGCTTCAGGCATTAAATGTGCTTTCTGTAAGCCGTTGCAACATTCCCTGTCTCCTTGTTGAATACTGCAGTGAGGCACCTGGGATGCTGTAATAGCAGGGATGAGAAAACAGTTTCCTCACAGGTGATGTTGTGTTATTCCTGGTAAAGATGAAGACTTTAAAAATATTTCTAATACTCTGCTTAGGGCATTCATACTTTTCTATTCTGGATCTTTTCCTGTTTTAGGAGCTTTTCTCAATGAGTGAAGTGCTACCTATCCGTCCTTGAGTTGGCAGAAAACCAGGCTGGTATGGAATTTGGAGCCCCCATTGCCTATCCCTACCCTGTTTCAATTGGCCTTGTGACTTACTGGGCTGGTTGGTGTTGTCCTAAACAAATGGCGATTTCTATATTTTTCTAGGCTTTGTTCAGGAGACAGAGTGGGGTTGACGGAGGTGGTTCCATCATTCCAGTGTGAGATTGTTTTATAACGCTATAGATGGCATGTTGATTTTGATATCCAGAGTTGTTGCTTGGATCCCAACATATGAGTAAGTTTTGAAGATCTGGTTCTTATAACTTCTTCCATAAAATAGCTATGGAGATCTCAAGAGCTTACCAGTTAAGTTCTATAAACAACTTATTTTGTTATAAATACGGTGTTGCAATAAATTATAAGTTGATCCTTGGTTCTTACTTTTGGAACAGTCACTTTCTCTCAATCTAATGTGCCTCACTGGTTATAACTGTGGGGAAAAATGGGAGGAGGGAATTTGATATACACTCCCTTCAGCTCCTGAATGAAAGTCAGGATAAATATATTATAAACATAAAAACATGTTTATATAAACCTATAAGCACATTTATATATTATATAAATTATGATATAAACATAAATATGAAATCATTGTGTTTTAAGTCCAGTGGTATTTCTATTAAAATTGCATTCCTGGGGATCCTGTGATGTATTCTTCTAAGAAATATCTGACTGGTACCATTTTAGAAACATTCAGATTTCTTAAATGTCATATAATGTATATCATTTATTTGTTATACAGTATGCTGCCTTTCCTCCAGCAACTCAAGACATGCATAAACTTCCTGCCTGCAGCTTCCTCCCCCCCACCCCCAGCATCTAAAAGCCCTGGTTAGTACTCTGATCAAGGAACATTTGGGAAGTTCAGCATTTAAATTAGACTGAGAAGTAAAAGAAAAAAGAAAAGAAAGAAAGAAAAACCAAAAAACCTTAGAACAATATTAGAAGGGTTGCCACCACAAAGAAGAACCTATTCTCCAAAGCACTTGAAGGCAGGATAAGAGGCAATGGATGGAAACTAACCAAGGAAAGTACCAACCTAGAACTAAGGAGAAATGTATTGTCAATGAGAACAATTAACAATGAACCAGTGGAACAGTTTGTGAGTGTTCCATCACTCGAGGTTTTAAAGAAGAGATTGGATAGGCATTTGTCTAAAATGGTATAGGGCCGTGATTGCGAACCTATGGCACGTGTGCCACAGATGGCACACAGAGCCATATTGGTGGGCATGCGAGCTCAGGTACGGCACGCATGTGCCCGCCAGCCAGCTGATTTTCAGGCCTTCTGGGCCCACTGGAAGTCAGGAAACAGGCTGTTTCTGGCCTCCGGAGGGCCTTGTGGCGGGGGGGAGGCCCATTTTTCGCTCTCTCCAGGCTTCTAGAAAGGCTCTGGAGCCTGGGGAGAGCGAAAAATGGGCCTTCCGGTCCCACAGGAGTTGGCAAATGGGCTGTTTTGGCCTCCAGAGGGCCTCCGGGGGGGGGTAAGGCTATTTTCACCCTCCCCAGGCTCCTAGAAAGCCTCTGGAGCCTGGGGAGGGTGAAAAAACGGGCCTACTGGGCCACTGTGCCATTGTGTGACAAAATGCACATGTGCGGGGGGGTGGGGGGCATAGAATTATGGTCGTGGGCAAACGTGGGTGTGACCCCCCCACGCTTTTGGCATGCGATGGCAAAAAGGTTAGCCATCACTGGTATAGGGACTCCTATTTGAGCATGAAGTTGGACTAGAAGACTTTGGAGGTCCCTTCCAACTCTGTTATTTGTTTGCAATCCTCATACAGAGCTTCAGAGAGATAGTAGTTTCTGAAACACCAGGGTCAGGGAGAGAATGTCAAAAGCAGCATGCCATCCCAGGAACGGCCTTCAGTTCTGCATTTGCCCAGATTACCAACTAAAGCAGGGCATCAAGACATTTTCTTAATTGACAGAAAGGTTCATGTGGAAAGAGGGGCAAAATATTGAGAAATGGGTGAAAATCCTTTAAAACTAGAATAATAATCAGTTTATCAAGACTGGCTACCACATTGTAATTTCATTTCCCCATCACCCCCACTGATTTTACACTAATGTAAGGATAGTGGGACAGAACATTAGGCTGCATGTTGGGACTGACACTATGGAGACAAAGAGGCAATCAGTCTGGGAGGAAGCATGTTACCCAGCTTCCTGGATAAGCAATTTGTTAAACTATAAAGCCAGAGCGCTGTTATAAAATCAACTCTATTTACCTCTTGAGTCACAAACCTACTGGAGCTGCAATACAGTATTTTGACTCTCTCCTGTAGTAACCTGTATTGAAACCCAGATTCAATAAACGTTTTCTGAGAGTGCGTGTCAGAAAAACACTTAGCATTTCTCGGCCCAATGGAAGATGGGAATTGAGTTCTTTCTCTGAGAAAGGCAAGTGCTGTTTGTTCTGATAAAATACTGCTGGGTCGAAAGTCATAGGTATTAGCTATCCATTTCCTCTTGTGGAACTTCATTCTTGTCAGATTGTATTCACTTTACAAGATCAGATATGTTTTCTAGAAAACAAGGCAATTTAAAAAATAAAATTTGGAATTCATCATAATAATGGATAGATAAGAGAAAAATTCTGCATACACGGACACATACACACACACCAATGTCCTGCTGTGCTGTCTTCTCACAGTGGGAGAGGGGTTTCTTGGGAGGGCACCGGGCATGTATGCCAAGGGTATATCTTCCAAGCAGACTCACCCAAGGTGTGACGTTCATCTCAATTGTCTAGCTAAAACAAGCAGGCACCTATATTGGGCAGCAGTGATATAGGAAGCTGTTGGAAGCAGATGATCACTTTAGTGACAATGGCAAAGGCATCATTTTATACAGCACAGGAGAAGACAATAGTAAATCATTGCTGCAATTTTAGCAAGAAAACCACACAGATAGACAATGTGAAGTGATTGATAATATGGTACCTGATGCTGAACATCTCAAGTTGGATGGTATTCAACATGCTATTGAGGAAGAACTACCAGAAATACAAATGTGAAAGATGAAGTAAATCAATTACATACAGACATTTTAGGCAAGCTGAAATGGACTGGGATTGGACACCTGCAGTCAGAAGATCATGTTTGCAGTATCACTTAGGACATGAAAAGCAAAGAAGGCATTGTTTTGATAGTTAGGAAGGATATAACAAGTCAGGGACCAGATAATACCAGTAGCAGATAGACTTTATGGACAATACTTTAATATGATGGTTATCCAACCATGCTCTATTCACTGATGCAGAAGGGAAGGTTGATGAGTTGATATCTGAGTTTATTCTGAAGTCAACAGAACATGCAGGCAAGATGTGTTGAATGTGTTTGGAAACTGGAACACCGAAGATGAAAATATTAGAAGAGACGTATAGTTTGATTGTATGGCCTAGAATCTGAAATGAAGCAGGACAATGACTTACCAGATTCTGCAAATCCAATGATATCATTACAGCGAACATATTCTTCAAACAATAAAACAACATCCATTTAAATGAACGTCACTAGACAGAGCGCATAAAAATCAGTATAAGGATAGCTTCTGCCTTTTTGGATCTAGAGGAAAGGAATCTACAATCAAGAAATATGTCACTGACTAGCATTTGGTAGGATAGGAATGAAGCCCTTGGGGGGGGGGAAGATAGATGTGTCTATACTTACCAAGTTCAAAATCATGCAGAAAAAGTATTTAATTTTGACACTGTATGAAGCAAAAGTTGAACTTTGAAAAAGCAGCCTGGAAGGAAGTTTCGTATTTTTAAACTTTAGTGTTGGAGAAGAATGGGTAACCATGAAAACAAACAAATAGATCACAGAAAGTATCAATCCAGAGAACAAATGACCAGCCTCAACTTACCATATTTTGGGCAAAAAACTAGCTTCCTGAGAAAACAATAATATTAGGTAGGAAAGAAAATAAGAGGACAACCAACAGCAGAGTAGATGGACTTGATTACAGTAGTGTTGTCCGTTGTTGGACAGGCCAGGCATGGAACAAAACGTCCTGCAGAAGGTCTGCCTGGGTGATTGCTAAGAATCAGCAGTGACCTGATGGCATATAACGGTCAAGAGCACTACACAATCTAGTGAAAACACTTCCTCATTAGCGGTCATAAGCCAAATTCTCACTCCTACCAATATTGGATATTCACTTGCAAAAAAACCTACATTTTTGTATGTCAATTTAATTGGAAAGGCACATATCTCAAATTATACTAATGTTAGTGGTAAAATTCACTTTAACTTATTATAAAGTTAACGATTTAAGAGGCTGGTGCTAAGAACAATCTTCCTTGAGAGGCATAGGTTTAAATGTAAACAAAGCAACTATTAGTCCAGGTTCAGGCTTTGCATGGTTTATGAATCCAGCTTACATACATGCATCATGTATACTGGAGGAAAAAAGTGGCATCACTAGTAAATCACTAGTCACCCTCTCTCTCTTCATGTTATCAATGCTTAATTGAAAACTACCATATCTTCTGGAAATTCTTCCAGAGAGGAGCTGATTCATTCTGGAGAAAGATAATATTTGAATGGTTGTCTTTGAATGGTCATGATCTCAACTTGAGTCTCCTCTCTTCAGCCCTTCAGGAAAACAGTTATCAAGCAGAATTAGCAATGACAGACCTCTGTAGAAGGCTACTTCCTATGTTTCTAAAATCCAAACAAATATCAAGACCATTGTGCTCCTAGAAATTAAGCCATAGATCCACATACTTAGGATTTCCCCTTAGCCAATTAACAATGTTATTGTTAATACTAATTTAATGACACAAGTGCAATATATTGCTTAACGTATTGTAAGCCGCCCTGAGTCTCCGGAGAAGGGCGGCATATAAATCAAATATATATATATATATATCACTTTGGAAGCTTTTTTCACTAATGAATTGTGACATATCATACATTAATAATAATTTTATTAAGTTTATCAAGATAGAAAGTGAAAATAGTGAGGAAATGGGGAAGAAAAAAGGGAAGAGAAGTGTAAAGAGAAAAAAAGAAAAGAAGAACATTGACTTCCAACTCTTTTTAGCACAATAGAATAAGATAGTGAATTACAGCCTCATTTTTTTATTTTTACATACTTAACATGTACTAGCCATTTCTATAACAACAAATTTATCTAAGCAGCAAAATCCAAAGTCAAAATTTCATTTTTCCCCCCATCTCAAGCACAAAATCCAGAAGTGGTTTCCAAGGAGAAACAAAGTCAAATGTATTCTTTCTTTGATTAAAGCAGTCAATTTTGCTATCTCTGCCAGTTCCATCAATTTTTCCAGCCATTCATCCATTGTGGGAATTAGAGTATCTTTCCATTTTTGTATATAAAGCATTCTTGCTGCTGTCAACATATATAAGAGCAAAGTTCCAGATTTTTTTTCAAGATCTTTGTCCATTAAGCCTAAAAGAAAAGTCTCTGGTTTTATTTTTATATTCACCTTAAGAATCTTCTGTATTAAAATATGACTCCTACCCCCTATTTCTTTACTTTGTCACAAGTTCACCAAAGATGGCAAAAAGTTCCTTCTTTAAATTTACATTTCCAACATACATTTGAAATATCTTTGCACATCATTGGCAGTTTATCAGATGTTAAATACCAATGATACATAAAATAAAAATGCTTGAGTTGTGGAAGAGTTGTGTTGCTTGCCACAAGGAGCGTCTTTACACTGTCCAGAAGTTGCATGTGATACCCCTGCTAGCATATTCTATTAACAGATCAGAAAGAAATCAATAGCAAGGGTGTAATCAATTGGAGAAGAATTGGGAAGAGAAAAGAAGATATTTTGTCTTTCATAGCTGAATTTCAAATGCACATTTATCACACAGTAAAGTGAATAGGAACTCAGGAAAAGTTTTGAACTGCCTTAGGTCAACATGGCTTTTCTTGGCTTCTTTCTCCTTCAAATAACAGAAAAGAATAAATTTAATTATCAGTGTTTCTTTTCTTCAATAACTTTGTGTCATATCCACATTTTCTGAAATTACAGTCTGAGATTATTTTAAACTCAGGAACAATGGGCTGTAGAATTTAACAATCAAGAGGCAAATTGAATTTGTAAGGGAAAAAAACGGTTAAAGGCAGCTGCCATCGAAGATCACTTAAGAGAAGAATACAACATTTGTGTGAATATCAAATCCCACTACTTGTTTCCTTACTTTGTACTCTAGTGTGATATTTCATATTATACTTGCTTTTCCCACTTTTATTCTAGCTGTAATTAAATCACTGAAACATTAAGGTACCAGTTTATCCAAACACCTAGATTTTAACATTAACTGCGTGAAGATAAGTATGAGGTGCAAATTCTCACCATAAATAAAGAAGTTATATGTGCTCTGAGCTCCATGTAAACCTCTCTTCTTGAATAAAGAAAAGATACAACTTCATTTGTTGCTTTCTATCGAGTGAAATAATGGATAAGACACTACAGAAAGAGAGAGAGAGAAATTATCAGTAAAGTTTGGCCAAAATTCAGACTGGACTATTCTTTTCAAACAGGTTCCCTTCAATTCACTTTGAAGTCATTTAGAAAGATGATTGACTCAACAGTTTCTTTCTAAGAACAGTTCTAGCCACAGCTCTGCTAAATCTGAAACAAGAAGCTCATGTCAGTTTCAAGCTTACATTGCTAAGAGCTTGCTACTGTATTACTCTTTCAGCTTACACATCTCTATCCTGCTGATTAAAAAGGTAGCATAGGGCCCTCCCTCAAGTGCTCTCCTTGAAGTGACAGAAAACTACAGTGCCAGAAAATGTCAAGCCTCCCCACACCCCACACCCCCAGCAATCCCTATCCTGCCACAGGCATACCTCTTGCAAATGGTGCTCTCATTTATGATGTACAGGACGCATGAAGGGAAAGGACTGATGGATTCCCTTAACTCTGTCTCCCCACCCCAGTCAATTGTCAGCAGCTAGTGGAAAAACATGCATCTTTCAGTCGGCTTACTTTGGACTTGAATTAGATCTGGAGAGAAAGCAAATTTTGACAGATGACTAGAAAAGCAAGCTTAGCTACTGTATGTGTCAGAATCCTTGGTTTTATACAAGTGTGAATCACAGGTGCATTCAAAGGAAGATTGACTATCAGCTGAGGTCCACTGATATTTGGAATCCTTTTGGACACAGGTTTAGTGTTATTTCAGAAAAGCAGTGTCTAGCCATGTTGAAAAATGCCCTGAGTACCAGCTGATGGGCACTGGGAGAATTGCATCACCAAGCAATAGTGAGCAAGCCAGCTAGCAAGAATAGAATAGAATATTGTCACTTTGAATGTACACTAATCGGCATACATTAAAATAAAATTACATTGCATACAGCTCTCAAAGGGTCACCACCTCTAATATGAACATAAACATGACAAAACAAACAAACAAACAAACAAACAAATAAATATGCATGTACCCACATATGTTATGGAGAAACAACACAGTCTAGTTCGGATGTATACATGTACATGGCAAGAGAAACAAATCTTGCAAATTTACTTGCAAGACTTGTCTTTATCTTTCTCCCTCTTTGCCACATAAACCCTTCTGATGGCAGCATGGATCACCTGCTATTCGGGTTAATCAGGGTCTCTGAGACAGGTATAGTCTCAAAAACATGGAAGATATAGGGAAATAACTGGTTAGAAAGAACTAGATAGTCCTGCTGTCCAAAGAAAAAATTCTTATGGAAGACAAAACTAAGAAACTGAAAGGAAGGGAGATGCTTATGTCAGCCTAAAGTGACTAATATGTACCAGGCTAATTCCAACCTCTGGGGTCACTTGACTGCCCCACCTATGTTGAGAGAAAGGGGGAAATCTATTCTGACCCCAGTACCCCAAAGAACAACTTAAGACTGCTTCAGGTATTGGTCAAGGATAAAATGAAGACAAGGTCATGAGTTCACAGTAGAAAAGACTTTGGCAGGACATGTTTGTGCCAAGCTGAGAAGGAAGTGAGGAAACCCTTACCTCTATCAAAGTTGTCATTCTTTGCCATGATGTTATGCCAACTCCATTGAGCAAAACTAGTGAAAGAGAAATAATCTGTATGATTTTATACAGTATATAGATGAAATGGTGTAGGGTCTCCTGCTCGAACATGGGATTGGATTAGAAGACCTCCAAGGTCTCTTCCAACTCTGTTATTCTGTTATTCTAGAGATTGAAGAAAACCAGTATGTACCATTCAGTCCTCTGATGTCAGATAGGCAAAGCAACCACAACAGTGGACTTTATGAAAGTCCTCAACAATTGTCTTTTTAGATACCACATTAGCAATTTCATTCTTCTCACTCTTGAACATCTACTGATGATTATTCTTACTTGGCTTCAGTGGTTCTTCATGCACTGAAAGATCCCGTGATCTCCTATTTTTAGGAGCTTAATGGCTGCTTCTCTATGGTGCCTCTGGTGTACAGGAGAAGACCCATGGAGTGGAAATGGCTGGGAAAACGATTTTTGCTGAACATTAGGTAAAAGTTTCTAATCTCTGATTGTAGGGCTCTGGTATTCATGTACTACAGCTTCTACAGGGAACAAGAGATTGCTTGTATCAATTACCAGCTAAAACAAGCCATTTACTTTGTCATTCAATTTTAGGGTCACTGGGAAGGTGAATTTATGATTTGCTGATTAGATCCGTAACATCAGAAATGGAGCGTATCTCAGAGTCTGCAAACAGTTACTCCTAAGAGGCTGCTTTTCCATTATCTCCACATTTTGTAAATCTAGAAGTCAAATAGTGTGGAGAAAACCAGAGGAAGCTCTTATCTAATAACATCGAAGCAATACACTAGATACTCTTTCTGAGATCATCTTTTCTGTAATGAATTCAGCATTTGTTCTGAAACCTGAAATCCAAACCAAACCAGGTAAAATGTGGTTAGTTTAGTTACATCACCCTACATAGATTTACCTTTTTGGTTTCTCTTTCGTTAAGTTTTTAAAAACTTTGTTCTCTTTATCAAACCAGTTGGATCTTTTCACACAGTCCAATTGAATAAGTCAGGAATAAGTAAGAAATTGGAGGTTCTGTGGGCCCCTAGCTTATTTTTCCAGATGCATGGTGTGGTTAACTCTGTATTTTTCAACCTTAGGAGCTTGAAGGTGTGGGAACTTCAACTCCCAGAATTCCCCATCAGTTGGCTAGGGAATTCTGGGAGTTGAAGTCTACATTCTGTCCAGCTGCAAAAGTTGATAAATGCTAAGTTAAACTAATGCAGCATTTGGAGGGGGGGAAAAAAAGTAGAATTCAAATGTTATATCGGTTCAAGCAGTCCAGACATCTGATGAAGTGAGTTGGAGCTTTGAAATTGTATTCTTTTTAATAAAGTCCCATGGCTTAGGACCCGAGTACCTTCGAGACCGTCTTCTGCCACCAATAGCCTCCCACCGACCAGTCCGTTCCCACAGAGAGGGTCTCCTCAGGTGCCATCAGCCAAGTTATGTCGGCTGGCGACACCCAGGGGGAGGGCCTTCTCTGTGGGAGCCCCAGCCCTGTGGAATGAACTGCCCCCGGAAATACATAAGATCTCCGACCTCCGGGTGTTTCGCTGAGCACTGAAGACCCTGTTGTTCCGCCAGGCAGGGCTATCAACATAATATTTTTAAATTGGGGTATTTTAATTTTTGGGGTTTTAAATCGGCCAAATCTATTTAATTATTTTAATTTTTAATCATTGTTGTGTCCTGTGTTTTTAAATTGGCTGTACACTGCCCTGAGTCCTTCGGGAGAAGGGCGGTATAGAAATACAATTATTATTATTATTATTATTATTATTATTATTATTATTATTATTATTATTATTAAAATAGTCAGAAAAGGTGCTTTCAGTCTCATTCTGATTTTTGCCTGCCACCACTGTCCTTGTACAATGCTTTCCTAGAAGCAGTATATCTGCTGGGAGTAGTCACTGGAATCATATGACACCTGTATTGTGATTCCTATGCTATTAGCTTCCAATTTAAAATGTTGGTGTTAATCTACAAATCCCTTTATGGCTTTATGGCAGGCTACCTACAGGACTCTTATTTCCCTGTAGAAGTCTGCCTGATCATTATAATTGTGCCAGGAAAAGCAACTAATTATTCCCTGCTTTTGGGAGGTCAGAGGGACTAGTGTTCGGAGGTATTGTTTCTCAATGGTGGTGAGTAAAAATTGGATAGGTAAATGAACAAATAAACAAACTGTGTTGGAATAAATATCAGAGTCCTCCTATTTGGCTTTCTCCAGTAAAAGCAAAATCCTTTTATCCAAGCTGATAGTTAGCCAACAATTTGGAAACCTCTGAATTATATACTGGAGGACCAAGTTCTTCTTGTGGTTGTGAGAAACAATTTCCTATTTTGTAAAAGTACATTTAAAAGTAGCCAAAGATGGATTTCCATGAGATGCAGCCAGATTCCACTCTGATTTATACAGCTTTGCAGCACAATTGCTTCTGATTGAACAGAGAAGGACAGACACAAATCGGCCTCCTGCTAACTTTGGCTTTCACTGCAGTAGTAACAGACATATATCTTCCATTAGTCTCTTTCCCCCCTTCTTTTTCTGTCCCCCTTTTCTTTGTTTGTATTGGAAATTAACCCAGCTCAGTATATTAATCTGATACTAGATCTCAGCATTAGCTTGCCAGTTATTATATCAGCAGTCTTTCAACAAACCTTGCCATGTAATTTTCTTCTTAATAGTAATTTTATTAAATCAAAAAACAAAGTGCAGAAAATAAAAGAAAAATAGAAAAGAAAGAAAAAAATAAGAAAATAGTAAACAAAGAAATATATAAAGAAATTATTTCCCCTTTCATCACAACAAGTATAAACAATTTTAGCAACATCATATTCTCTTAAAATGCAACCAGTGATCTCTTCTTTCCTATAAACCAATCCTTAAATCTCATTGTTCAGTCCTGATCATCAAAAGTCCATTAAGGGTTACCAAAGATAATGTTATCTATTTTAACCTTAATTAAACAAACCAATTTTATATTCCTTATATTTACTTTTAACTATTTTAATCTTTACTTCCTTCAAATAATGTCACAGAACTTGATTTATTTTCATTTTTTCTTTATCCCTTCTTATAAAATTCTTCAAAACTTTAACAAGCCTCATTTGTAAATCCAATACAAGAAAGTTGTCCAGGTCACTCTTTTGATTTGTTATTTCCTTTTAATTATTAAAATGTCAGCCAATTTCTTTTGTATGTCCATTGTAGCATCTTTCTCCCTTTCATTCTTGCTTGTACTTTTTGAATTCATTTTCAAATCAGTCTCAGTCTTGTCTGTTAAAATTTATTTCTCATTCATAACATCTTTTAAGACAGGCTGTCTAAACAGGGAGACACTCTTAGAATTAACTTTTGAGTCCATTGTTCAAAAA